TTGTGGTGCTCAAGTATTTCGTAAATTCTGGATATAAGTCCCTTATCTGATATGATATTACCGAATACTTTTTCCCAGTCAGTGGCTTCCCTTTTTACCCTACTGGAGAAGTTTTTGGATGTGCATAGGGATTTGAGTCTTAGAAGGTCCCATTCATCTATGTTATCTTCAGAGGTCTTTTTTTAACCTTGTTTATTTTCCCGTGTTTTTTCACTTTGCTGCAGGATATTCTAGGGAGTCTCGAGGTGCAGTAGATAGAGTTCTCAACTCTTGTAACTTGGTTTCAGACTAGCTGAGCTTTTGCCTTCCCCCAGCTTTGGCCAGTCCCCAGGTTCTTATCCCTAATACAGGCTTTGTGACACTAACAAGAAGAGCTGTATCCATTCTGTACTTGAGGTGGTGTTTTTCTCATAATTCTGGTCACCTGGGCTCTTAAGCAGCTGTTTGCTAACCTCTGAGCACTCTGCATCACCTGGAGCCTTGTTCTGTCTCCAGGTGCTATGTCTGCTCTTCTTCTGGATGCTCTTCACATCTGGGAAGTACAACCTTCCTGGAGTACCCAGGTGGTGGTTTCATATCCCACCACTGACGTAGCTCAACTCTTCAGATGATGCATCCTGAATGTTCGTTCACACAGCAGCAGAAACTGCAAAACCAGAGGCAGCTGGAGCTGCAGGCCACTCTGTGAGAAGTGGGCCCGTTGTAGCTCTGAGGCCCTGTCAGCGGACTCAGTGAATCATCTGCTGCTTGCTAAGAGCTTGCTGTACATGTGACCACATGTCACAGTGCAGAAGAGAGAGCACCCCTTTACACAGGGACATAAGGTCAAGCACCTGCCCTCAGAGCTTCTAGCCCAGCTAGGGGACATAATAAACCAGCACAGCTATGGGTTCCTGAGCTCCTGTGCTCAGGAAGAACACAACACCCTTTTCCAGGGACACTCCAGGACAGACCAACGCTCATCACAGGTGCCTGCTCTTTGTTCTTTCTTCACAGGTGAGCGGGGTGCTACCCTGTCTGGTGGCCAGAAGCAGCGCCTGGCAATTGCCCGAGCCCTCATCAAGCAGCCCACAGTGTTAATCATGGATGAGGCCACCAGTGCACTGGACTCCGAGTCAGAGCAAGTTGTGCAGGAGGCCCTGGATCGGGCCAGTGCAGGCCGCACTGTGCTCGTCATTGCCCACCGGCTCAGCACTATACGCAAGGCCCACCACATCGTAGTTATGGCTGACGGCCGGGTCTGGGAGGTCAGTGTGGGCTGGGGAGGTACCAAGTCCAGCATGTGCAGGGGTTCAGGTACCTGGGCTGAGCTGGGTGGGAGTCCAGGCTAGCCCTTGGGGCTGGGGACCATGTTCTAAAAGCAGCGTCTTATGTGGATTTGACAGCCTCCATTTCTTGCTCCATTCCCTGGGAACAGTAGTACATTTGCCCCTTGGATTTAAAAAGGGGAAGTTCTCAGGTGTATGGTAGTGTGGCTGGACAGAGACTGGCAGCCCCAGGGCTGAGGTAAAATGGACCAACCACTCTCTCAGACCAGCTGAGCAGAGCACAGAGGCTGGTCTGCAGAGAAGGGCTTGGTGGCTCAACATTGTCTCTAGCCCATAGAAAAGAGCCTTATCAAGAGTCCAGTGGGCCATCACTTGGCAGTGACCCTGTGAACAACAGCCCAAAACCTTGCCCTATCCTATGGATGTTATAATTAATGTTAATAAAGCAAAATAGGTACTAAGGGAAAAACCAATTTGCCTTATAAACTTTCATTCAAGTTGTAATAATAATAAAATTCAAAGGCAAGGTGGCTTGTGTTAGAGATCTATGAGGTACATGATAAGATAGTCTGAACTCTATCCAGGAAACAAAAGAAATCAGATGCCCTTCCAAAACTTCGCAAGATAGGAGGAGGCAGGAACAAGGGAGACGGGCTAGGATCAGGGCCTCAGAGCCTTTGTGCTGCTTTCATGGTGTCCCATCAGGATTACAGCCTGAGTGCTAGGGAGTTCTAGATTGGGAAGAATTACAGTCCAGCTAGGATTCTCGACTCTTAGCTGGACCCTGAGGTGACTGGCTGCCCCTCTTGTCTTCCAGGCTGGGACCCACGAAGAGCTCTTGAAGAAACGTGGACTCTATGCTGAACTCATCCAGAGACAGACCTTCAAAACCCCGCTGACATCCATGGAAAAGCCAAAAGGTCCCAGAAACCACCCCGCCTAGGCCTGAGAACAGGCAGCTGTGACCACAGCCCTGGTCCTGACAGCGGGACAGTAGTGCTGGATGGGTGGGGTCAGTGGCTGAGAATGGAGACCAGAGTGGAGCTGCCTAGGGATGGAGCCCCGAGGGCCCATGTAGTCCACCTGCTCACAATAAAACCTGCTAGGCAGCTGGACTGAGCCGTTAGGATCTCTCCTGTCTGCTCCTTCCCAGCTGTCACACTCCTCCCTCCCACCAGAGCCCTGAGAATCACTGCACTATTGAGGGGTGGGATCAGTGTTGAGGAGTTGCCAGCGCCCTCCTCAACTGTTTGCAGCAGTATTGCTCAGCCTTAGCCTCTACCTGTCATACTAAGGTTGTCAAGCTCTAGCACCAGAGGATTTTTTAAAGTCACAGTTGGAAATTTACACCTGTAGTTTTTCTTGAAAAGCAAATACACCCTAACTAGGACTTCATTGATTATATTAGAGTGACTCTGAGATCCTCCAGCTTCTCAGATCAACACACAGCTTCTGTCTTTCCCTCTGCTTCATTGTTACTAGATGCTTCGAGTCAGTTCCAACAACAGCAGCCCTATGGACAACTCATTGTACCATCCTCACAAGCTCTGCTGTGCCTAAGTTCATTGTTGCAGGACTGTCAATCCATCTCATTAAGTCTTCTCTTATTGAATCTGCCCTTTTGCAGCATAATGCCCTCTTCCAGGGACTGGACCTTCCTAGTAACATACTCAAAATATGTTATTAGCACAGCCTAATTTCTAGACCTTATCCTCCTCTGCCCCATCCCAGAACACTTGATAGTGCTTATGCGAAACCTATATATACTACTTGGCCCAGGAAGACAGTCATCAGAACAGAGCAAGGAAACATTCAAAATTGGGAAGGGTGTACACTAGGGAGGTGTCCTATCTCCATACTTTTTCAATCTATGTGCCAAACAGAGATCATCCAGGAGACTGAGCTATATGAGGAGAAATATGGTATCAGGATTGGAGGAAGACTCATCAGTAGTCTGCATTCTGCAGATGACACAGCTCTACTTGCTGAAACTGAAGAGGACCTGAAGCACTTGCTGCAGAAGATCCAGGACTGCAACCTTAAATATACATTGAAGCTCAACACCAAGAAAACAAAGATTCTCACCACTGTGCTGATTGGCAGCATCATGATAGACAGTGAAGAGATTGAAATTGTTAACAGCTTCAGTTTGCTTGGCTCCACAATCAAAACTTTTGGTACCAGCATCCAGGAATTTCTAAAAAATGAATTGAAAAAAAAAATTAATTGCATCGGGAAAATCTGCTACCTCTCCAAAGTACTGAGGAGCAGTGATGTCAGTTTGGAGACTAAGGTACGCCTGATTCAGGCCATGGCCTTTGCCATTACTTACTATCCATCAGAAAGCTGGACAATGATGGATTGATAGGAGAGTTGACACCTTTGAGCTTTGGTACTGGAGAAGAGTATTGAATATACCATGGACTGCTAGAAGAACAAACTGGTTTGTCCTGGAGAGGGTGAAGTCAGGCTGCTCCTTGGAGGCAAGGATTCTGAAGTTTTACCTAACATACTTTGGACATGTTGCAAGGAGGGACCAGTCCTTGAAAAGGGACATCATGCTTAGCACGGTGGAGGGGTAGTGCAAGAGAGGAAGACCTTCGAGATAGATTGATTCAGTGACTGGGGTAATGGGGGTAGCTGTGTCAGAGACAATAAGATTGGCACAAGATACAGCAGGGTTTAGGGCTGTTGTACATAGCATCGCTATGAGATTCAACAGCATATAGCAACAACAGCCCCCAGACCAATGAAGACTGCTACAACCTCAGCCTTATCTCCCACTCCTACCCACCTGGAGTGTAGACCCAACATTGCCTGACTCTTCACAGGTTGGGTGGGCAGTGACTCGAGAGGGGAGAGCTGATCGCCTAAGCCCTTTCCCTGTATACCTGACATCTCCACATTGGTGAGGTTTTCTACAAAAACTCTCTACATTAAGAGAACCCATAATCTGGGAAGGAGCTAGAAGAATCAGACTCACCAGTGTGACTTGTTAGAGAGATGTGGTGCTCACAAATGTAAACAGATGAAGCATTTCACGCTGGTACTAAACATATAGCATTGAGAGAGAGCCATGCTGCCTCCCAGAGTGGAAGAAGCTAGGCTTGACTCCAGACTATTTCTGAGAGGACTCGGAATAGGATGTCCCCCAGTCCTGTTCCACTTTCACCTACCCACTCACTCGGGGAGTAGCAAAGTCCCATGGGAAGTCTTGCACCAGAAGGGCAGGTGCCAGCTCACCAGACTCTTGCTGTGTAATCTTAAGCTCTCAATTCATTAGTGCTAAACCTAGCTGCATTTTATCTCAAAATATATTTTAAGAATTTAAGATTGTCATTGTGTACTCTGGAGTCAGAACCAACCCATAGCTGACCCTCCAGCGGATTTTCAGAGGCAGTAAATCGCATAGGAGGAGATTGTCCATCCTTCTGCAGAGCAGCTGGTGGATTCGAGCTACATGTCTTTGGGATTGTGGCACAACTTCTTATTACTAGACCACCAGAGCTTCCTTTCAGTAGAATCCACATGAAATCTACTTTTTGAAAAATCATGCTGCTACAGTAGCCTTGGAAATTCATTGTATCCACATAATAAAACATTTTATTTACTTGTTACTTTAAAAATACTGAGATTAATTTGTTGTTGAGTACTGTCAAGTGAGTGACTCAGCTGACCTTCCAATGGGTTTTCAGAGGCAGTAAATCATGCATATTACCCATCTTTTTCCTACAGAGCAGCTGGTGAGTTTGAACTGTGTACCTTTGGGATGGCAGTAAACCTGTTGTATACTTCTAACCCACTAATGGGGACTGAGGTGCACCCTGGTCCCTTATAGTGCAAGCAGTTGTGACAGGATAATGCCTCACTGATGGAAGCTCATTGGTATTTCCACTCAAAGTCAGAAGCCCACCAAAATGAGCCAAACTACCTCAGAGATGTAGAAATCACCTTTAGCAGACTAAGGGATAGAAACCCGATTTCTCTCTGGCTCATAGTAGAGCTTTTCAAAAGGCCCGGATACCCAGTGAGTGAGGGGTGGACACTGCCACTGCCAAAGCCTGGGCCCTCACACAGCCATCCTCCGGGAAGTCAGTGCTAAACTGGCCCCTGAACCCCAAGCTGGCAGGAACTCCTCACCTCCTGCTTCACCATCTTGCTGCTGATTTAGGCCAAGTGACACTAACTCTGCAGGAATCTACTGCTTTCTGGAGGTCTCTGTTCCAGCCACTTGGAGTTCTCCCTCGGCCTTAAGTCATCAGTCCGGGTTAGCTGAGGTATCTTTGGTCAAATGGCATGCTGGTTTTGACCTCTTAAGGCCAGCGTTTTCACACCACTAGGCTTACAGCAGAGATTGTGAGGGTGTCACAGGATAACGCAGAGTCTCATTCCCTCTTGCACTTAAGGTCACAATGAAGCTGACTCAGCAGAGCACCTCACAACAGGCATTGTGGCCAAAGCATCTTTCTAGGAGCTTGGCCTAAGCCTTGGCCTTCCCAAGCGTGTAAAGAATCTATCTCCTTGAGAAAAACCCATGCAAAGCAGGCCCGCTTCTACCTCCCCCATTACTGAAAGGCTCACTTATATGTTGTTGTGTGTCCTGGAGTCAGAACCTACTAACAGCTGACCCTTAGGTGGGTTTACAGAAGCAGTAAAAAAAAAAATCTCATGGGAAGCAGCTGGTAGATTCGAACTGTGTGCCTTTGGGTTGGCAGAACAACTATAGAGGCAAATTCTGTGGTATCTTTCAAATTACTGATTATCTTTTCAAATTACCAATGCCTTTTTTTCTTGGTGGCATGCTTTTGTTTATAATCGTAAACCCAAAATGTGTGATTGCCTTTTGACTCAATTCTATCTCTAGGAGTTGATCACATAGATATGCCCACATACATTAGTTTCCTAGGCCTGCTGTAAGCAAAGTGCCACAAACGAAGTGACTGATAAAAAAACATTGTGTCACAGTTCTGGAGGCTCGTGATCCAATCAATGCTGTTGGGTTGTCTGATTCCTTCTGAGGTTCGGAGGGAGAGTCTCCCATGCCTTCCTCCTAGCTTCTGGTAGGTCCTGGCATTCCTTGGCTGATAACTGCAGCATTGGGTGAAGTCAACCTGTTTCTCAGTGCCAGGACTGACTGACCTCCTGTATGATCTCATGTTAACCTCATATTAATGATAGCTTCCAGGATCCTACATCACAACATGGTCAGATTCATGTGCACTAGGAGTTACAACTTCAATGAACTTTTTTTTTAATGATCTTTTTATTGTGACATGAGTGAAATTTTATAAAGAACTGGTTTTCCATATAACAGTTCACACACATTATGTTTCATTAAATTGATTCCAGTCCTTACAGCATAAGCACACGCTGTCCACTTCCTCCCTGTGTTTTCCATTCATCCTTTGCTAGTCCTTCTGGCCCTTTGGGCTTTATCCATGAGGTGCATGCTTCCCTTTACAACATAGGTTGTTGGGGGGTTTTTAGGACAAAATTCATCTCCTGAAAGACTATCCTTTTAAAAGGCCCTCAAAATGTGCATTCTGTGTGCAAAATATAGTCATTTCATTCCAGCATCCACAGAAGTCTTAACTCATTTGAACATTAAATCCAGAATCTCATCTTCTAAATAAATCAGGAATGGATGAGACTCTGGGAGTCCATCTCAGGGCATGATCCCTCTTCACCTGTGGACCTGTGAAACCTCACATATAAGTTATCTGCTTCCAAAATACAGTGTTGTACTGGCATAGGAAAGCCATGCCCATTCCAAAAGGCAAATGTTGAAGAATTCTGTGGGTCACACATCAGTCCAAAACTCAGCAGGGCAAATGCCATTACATTTCAAAGCTTGAAAATAGTCCTCTGGGGCCACCTTAATGAAGGTTCCAATGCCAGGGTTGAGCAGTGGCCCAACTTCTTGGAATCAAGGAGGCTTCTTGC